TAGTATAGATAATAGGTAGCGTCACCGGATGTAAAGTTTTATTATTAACGGTATTCTACGTGTTAGGTATGCATATCTATATGTGATTTGATAAGCCATTTCAGTATATCTAACATACTATAAACTGTGTGATTTATATGTAAAAAAGTGAAACAACCATTAATTGCTCATGTGATTCATTTCTATAACATGATTACGCGTTACCATGTAAATGCCATTTAGGATTCGCAATTCTATTAAGCGCTTATATATAATAAGGCTTAGCGTTTTCTTGTAATGTATTGTTTATAATATTATTGTTTATTAACAATTATTATTGTTCTATTATATGTGGTTATTATAATCAATCACTTAGATATGCAATGATGCTAATGTAACCCTAAAAATAATGAGAGACGTGACCAGAAATCTGAATATTTTCCCCGACCACTTACAATACTTTGGTATATCCATTCTTAAATACAAAGTTGTTTAATATCGGTGCTGCCTCGTTGAGGCTATGACCTTCTATTGATTCCCTTGTTTGGGTACGTCTTTTGAATTCATTATTTTCGTGGTTCATCAAATTTTCAACGGAGTACTTTGCAAGGCTATGAATTTGTATAAGGAAAAGTTTATTCTTTAAGTGAAGGGTTTTATTTAAGATTACTTTCAATGTAATTCGTGTATTATCGACGTCAAATTATTGGAAATAGGCTTTCTGTTATACATATATTTAACTTGGACCCGCACGTGCCTATGGGTTATGTTTTGCAACAAACGACACTTCATGGGATACTCTAAACGGCCATAAACTATCTCTATATAAAAAAACTATATTACGTATAAATTAGACATAACACTTATATTTTCGCATTTTAGAATTAACTTAAATTTTACCTACACAAATTTTTATAAATACAATTAAAATGTATTATATATTCTCCTGCAATACATAACTCCAGTGCGATCGTCATTTATTATGATCCCATATATTATCTGAGTTTTTTAATTGACGAGAACAGAAAAACATAGGTACTTCTCTGATAGCAGATTGGACCCTTGGAGCAACCCCATGATTGTTATGGTCTGCTTCGGAAGGCCTGCCGTCGGAGCGTCGTGGTAGAGTACGTAAGCGATCCTGTGACGCTCCATTAAGACGGATTCGGTTGGATTTTAGTGGGCAGTGCTGGTTTTGCTGGTGAGTCCCACGTAACCACCTGTATGCGTTGCAGGTGGTATGCGTAAATGAATTTCCCAACGTAAAAAAAGGTAGTCTACATGATATCGTAATTTTAACAATAACTCTATTATAACAAACTAGTATAGTTATTAATGAAACACACCTAATAAATGATACAATTTAGCCTTTTATCTAAAATTGTATATTGCCTCTATGTTGAATAGGATAGGACACATTTTTTTTCATATATGATGTAGTCAAAGTAGAGCTTCTTGGTTGTTTTCATGTTCTAATCTAAACCTATAAAATTACATATCTTGTCGCAGACTAAGTCCCTGGATATGAGGGCTAACATTTTACCATTATATATTTCTATTCGATACATAATTCATTATTCACTAAAAGAGTTTTGAAAATCTATCGTTTCCAATTACTAAGTGTGCAAGAACATTATACCTAGCCTTCCCTTAAAAAAACGTGTTGCATTAATTGTTTCAAACAGCAATCAGTAATTATTATAATTGATTTTCGATACAGTTAATGAAACGTATTTTTTTTGCCGGGGAATCGAAACGAAAAATTATATAGCTACTAGCGACTCACCCTCGCTCCGCTCGGGTTGGGGTGGGGTCTGGGAGGACCACCCTTATCCTTATCACTTAGGGGTATGGAAAATAGATAGTAGCCGATTCTCAGACCTATTGAATACGCATATAAAATTTGGTAAAAATCGGTAAAGCCGTTTCGGAGGAGTACGGTAACTAACATTGTGACATGGAAATTTTATATATTACATAAAAATTATATAGGAAAATTTAAAAAAATACATGATATTAACAAAATGTTACGTTTGGCACTCTTTAAAATGAAACAAGCAAGTAGCCATTGAATCTGATTATTATGAAGAGTTCTACAAACCACCTCCTAGATCCATCATCAGATTAGATCAGAATATTGAAATCTCGTCGAAATTTCATAATTATTTATAAAGACCTCATCTTATTGTCTTTACTGGTGATAAGAGAGCTGGCTCGTTTTTCGCCCAAAGAATCGGCATTGCCATTCAGCGGGGCCATGCGGTTAGCATTCTTGTCAAATTCCTAGCGGACATGATTTGTACAATGTACAGTAATAATTAAGAGTACATTTATTTTGTATATATAATTAAGTATATTTGTAATTTCAATATATTTAGTTTATAACTAGCATTGCCCGCGGCTCCGCCCGCGTTCAAATGATCAAAAACCAAATTCTTACGTTTTACATATTAGTATACATTGCAGTTTTTGTATTTTTTTTTCAGAAATGAGATATTTTTCCGCGGTAAAAAGTACCTTATATGTTGACCCGGATAACCAGCTATCACCATACTAAATTTCATCAAAATTTCTCCCGTGGTTTTTCTGTGATGCGGTAACAGACAGACAGACAGACAAAAATTCTAAAAACTATAGATTCGGCCTCTATATCGATAATAATGTCTATTTCAATAAGATTTTCTAAAAAATATTTAATGTACAGATTTGACTTAGTTACAATTTTATTATATGTATAGATTATTATTAAAGATTTCAATATGTACTTACTTACGCGAATATTTGACATTCTTTGGATGTTTTCGCGGTTTTATTTTGATGTTTATTTTCCAACATTTTGAATACTTTACATCAAACTTGGTTACGGGAGGGATCTCCGAAAAAATACATAGTTTGATTTTGAATCTGCGATTAAGAGAATCGTCCATTCTTCTCCATGACTGTTTATTAATACGCTATGGCCTACGCAATATTCCTATAGATATAATATACTTTTTCGCAGTTTACTATCGTAAACCTGTATTTCCTATTATTCGTTGTTATAAATATTATTATGTACTTTAGGTGATCTACGTGTACTAGACCACGATTTGCCAATTTAGATATCAGGAGACGACTTGTTAATGAGATTATCGTCTATAAGCTAATCGATATCTTTACGTTAAAAGACACACCTACTATTTACGTATTTTCCACTTTTATGTAAATTCACTATATACAATAATTATTAAAGTAGAATGAAATGCAATTTATGCTAAAAGTAACTTACTAATTATAATTATAAATTAAAAATTCAAAAAAATCCCCTACGCAAATTAATTGTCATTTAACGATTACACACGCGTGAATCTATCGTGATCATTTTGGAAAAGAGATGATACTCTTACACACTGGACCGATATTAACTAAACTTAGCTAAGAACCACCGCAAGGAAACTGGCTTTCAAATGAAAAAAACCGCATCGAAATTAGTCCATCCGTTTGAGAGCTACGATGCCACAGACAAACACACACATACACAGACACCGACGTCAAACTTATAACACCCCTCTTTTCGCGTCGGGGAAATCTGCATATATATATATATATATATATATATATATATATATATATATATATATATAATATGCTCCGAATGAAAAAAAACTAACCGCTACTTTAGTCTGTTGTCCATTAAAAGATTCAAGTCAATGCTGAAATTTTCAATAGATATTTTTTATTTAAACCAGTTGATAAAGTGTAGCTATAAAGTATTTACTAAAGTCTGTTTCTATGGGCTCCTATATAAATCCGTAGTCCACTTTTTAAAGGTACATTGACGGTACGTTTGTACGGTACGTTTAAACATAAGAATAGGGTAATGCACATACGATACAGTAATTTATACCTTAATAAATTGTATTATAATAATAGGAATGTAAGCGGCCGCACTTACGAGTACTAACACTGAGTACGGTTTCTCTTTATATGCTCTTTGTCTGTCTTATTCTCTAAATCCGAGTTCTAAGGGTAATGATAAGATTTTGATAATGAAATACTTGTTTAGACCCTAAATTTAGTTCATTTGTTTAACTGTTTATGTTCTAATTAAATAATTAGTTCAGGTAAACATATTCGAGATTTAACAATTTGTCACCTAATTTTATTAATCCTAGATAATGCTTTATCTTGTTGTTTCGTTGCTATGTATTAAAGTGATTTTATTTAAAAAAAAATATTTATAGGCAAATAAAAGTAATCAATAACAATTATCGAATATATCTTAATGGATATGGATATTATTTGCATTTGTATACCTACCTATCTACGTAAAGAGTACACACCCACAAAACTGTTTGTTTACAATGTGACATTTTATAATAATATTTGTATTTATTGTTTTTTTTTTAATATTTAACTTAAAAGTTACGCACATTGTAGAGTCTGTTATGATAATTAGTGATTATCTACTAAATAAGAATAATTAATTTAGTTAACTCAACTCAGTTAAATAAACAAAATAAAATGAATTACTAAAATTATTTAAAAAATATAGTGTTACTTTTATGTTGCTATACAAATACTAAATAAAGTACCACTCTGCAGTGGCTGATGAAAAAAAAAAGATAAATGTTAAAGTTACAACATAAAGTTTACCACAATATTATATTAATTACATAAATAAAATAAATATATGAAAAATATTTGGTAGTTAAAATCTGCAATGTGCGGTAAATCTTAAACGTGAACAACACAAAAATATACGGCATCTGTTGGCGGGAAAATGGCGAAATGTCACTAAGCGCTAAATAGTTCGCACGGAAAAGTATCCATATATGTAGGAAAATTCACTCATCCAGCCAGTACAAACGTGGCTGTTAAAGGCAGATGACGCGTGTTTATAAAATGCGTAAAATATTACGCGTCGTCCTATACTTTTAGTGACATAGTGATAAAATTATGTGATATTACTTAAATATTTTAGTAATTTTTATCCTGTGATATTGTGTTGGACTTATATTTTTGTAGTTATTTTTTTGACAATGGCAGACGGAAAGTAAGTTTGTAATGTTTATTTAAATTTTACTACAATCAAAACAATTAAAAGTCATTTTAAATGTATACAATATTTAATAATAAACTCACTAAATTATATACTTGCGTAAAAATGAAGACTTTCGTACAAAAATTTACAATTATAGCAGAATAAAAAAAATGTAGGTACGTTAGGTAGAGATGCATAGAAACCAGAAATTTAGGGCTGTTCATATTATTCTTTATCATACTCTTATGAAGTCATTCTCATATTATTCTCAGTATATATTATACACAGGATATAGGATACACCTTTTAAAAATAGAACAGAAAATAATAATATAATTACTATAGATTACCGTACGTTTCACTTAGATAAAGTTTTGGTATAAGAATGATTGAAAATTTTTTTTTGTAAAGTAGACAACATTGCAACATGAGGTCGCATATAAATAAGTTTTAATGTTTACATTTTCTAGCTTATTTGCGTCTAGGTTAGAGCGTATTCGTGCACTAAATTCCTGAGCTAGATTTTAAAGTAAAGTTAGCAGTAAAACCGTTTAAGCACCTGTCAATATAAATAGGATTAAGTATCAAGAAAGTTTAATTTATACCTACATTTTTATTGTATGTACTTAATTAAGTTTAAATAATACAACATTACAATTTTCATCACAATTCTATTCTTAATTAATTTTATAAAGAGTATACGTAGCCTTAGAATTTCGCATATGATTTTGATTAAACTGGTTTTGTCACTGTTTTGCGGCCGTGCCGTTATCCATGTGTAATGAAATCGGCATCTTTATATGTGGTCTTAGTAGTTAAATACCATAAAGCTTTTTATATAAAGCAAAACACGTTCCTTTTATTTGTATGTAACACTTATACCACTATCGCACCGCCCCGTACATCCTCTGTTATCGACAGTGCTAAATAAATATATGTACAATATATTTTTGTTTGCTTTGATTCATTTTTTTTTAATAAAGAGGTCAAATATGACAAATATGTAGAGTTGTTTGAAAGTATTATGTCTAAAGCCTTTTACTTTATAACTATTAAAAATAAGGAGCTCAGGGAAGTAGTTATGTAAAATGAGTAATGAAACTTAGTAGTAAAATAGAAAAATAAACAAGAAATATATATAAATGTTTTATGTCCTATAACTTATTACATTAGATTAGAAAACAAAGAGTTTATCTTTAACCAACCCAAAATCAATATTTTTAGTAAATAAGTTTGTTATTAAGGAAAATTTTATTAAATTACATTCGCAATGACTAGTTTTGGATACATCAAAATTAACAAAATAAATGATTTAGTTATCCAAATTACTATTTTATAATTATTTTTATCTCAGCAAACCTTTATCACTAAGCCATGAGTTGTTTTCGATTTTGCATTAAATAAACAAACATTTTATCTCTACCTGTAGCAACCATTAAAGACGTACGTGTGTATCATACATATATATACATGTAAGTATGATCAAATTAGCAAAATGCTTAAATTATATGCATATAATATTTATATATTCATATTGAACAATTTTGACATAATTGTTGAAAAATATTTAATTATCTGGTGATTATTGGTGGTGATGTTTTGTAAATAGCTTTTTATTTTTATCAAAAGAGAAAATGGCGTATGAATTTTTATAAGAATAAGCGTAACGTATTTGGGCTTAAAGTGCAAGGTTGAGGTTGTTGGCTTATCGCCAGTTGTCTCTGCACTCGGGAAGCGAGTGCTCGGTCAATGTCTTTTTTGTTATGCATTTCATCTTTTATATTAGATAGATAGATAGATAGAATAAGGAAAACTTTAATTATTAACTTTTTATTAGTATACTCTTACAATGCAGTTTTTGTATTTTTGTTCAGAAATGATATATTTTCCTGCGGTAAAAAGTACCCTATATGTTGACCCGGATAACCAGCTATCATCATACCAAATTTCATCAAAATCCCTCCAGTGGATTTTTCTGTGATGCGGTAACAGACAGACAGACAAAAATTCTAAAAACTATAGATTCGGCCTCTGTATCGATACTAATGTCTATTTCAATAAGATTTCCCAAAAATATCTAATGTACAGATTCGGCTTAGTTACAGTTTTATTATATATATATATATATATATATATATATATATATATATATATATATATATATAGATGATATGTAAAATGATACTGCACGTGTGTATCTGTCAACGTTAATACTTGGATAAATATATTCATTTCATTCGTATGGAAAATACATACATCTATACTAATATATTAAAGAGGTAAAGTTTGTGAGTTTGTGACGTTGTAGGGGGGTAATCTCTGGATCTACTGAACCGATTTAGATGAAATTTGGTAAGAAGATAGTTTGAGACCCTGGAAAGGATATAGGCTACTTTAATTTATCCCGAATATCATCCCTTAAGGGGGTGAAAATGGGATTAAAGTTTGTATGGGGAAACAACCTAGGGACGAACCCGAGCGAAGCGAGGCTGAGTCGCTAGTAATTTTTATAAAGCTAATTAAAATTAAATTGGAGATATTACTAAAATACTAACAATTTTTATATCTAATTATTTTGAAGTACAGCTTATTACAACTTTACAAGGAATATAACTTAATTGTATTTTATCTACATTTTTCGATGTACTCGATGTACGTAATAACAAAATATAAATTCGAAAAAGAAGTTTTACAGTAAGAAAGTTTTATACCGATTTATATGTATTTATAACAAAATTGATTGAAGAATAAAATAAGAATTAGGATTCTTAAACTTTACAATTCATTAAATAATGATTTTAAACTTTGCCTAACGTTTGATCTCCTAAACTCATTGCTATATAAATATTAAATAACAAAATTACAAGAATCAAAATAACTAATTTGAATTCAATTTTTAAAACAACATAGAAATTGTAATATTCTTCATTAATGATATTTATGTACATGTTTTTGTGTGTGTGGTGGTGTACTATGTGGTACATTACGAATAGTCTAAGTTTAAACCAATCAGAAATAAATCACGTAATCTTCGTTTAATATATGTACACTATATCTTATCATGACAAGATATTTTACATGCAATATACACCATATTTATTTTGATTCTTGTTAGAACTGGAATATATCGATTTTTCATAGTTTAATTGTGATTTATATTTTTCATATTAATTTTAGTAAAGTCTTTTTCTTAAAAGAGAATTTATATCTGTTAATGTATAGAATATATATAGTGTCAGAGTATAGTGTATAATACTGTGTTTAACTATGGTTTGAAAGAGGTAAAGGACGATAGTATCCGTTCTATAATAATAATTAAAGGAGCGTCAAAAAATAAAAATCGGCAGAAAATATTACGACGTGGTGAGTCCACTAAATTTTGCTTTATACATATACATATATATATATATATATATATATATATATATATATATATATATATATATACATATGTAAGTACTCGTATACTTTATGTTCTGTTGGGTAATAGTCAATATATATTTTTTTTCATATTATATTAAAATATCAGCTAGCTTTACAAATAATTAAAGAGCAAATGTAAACATTATTATTTATATTATATTAATAAATTGTATAAGCTCTAATACAAATTAATTAATGTATAATGATACTAAAATATATAAGGAGATTATTCTTTTATAACTTAGATAAAATAAGTTCTCAGATCAACGATAAGTTACTTTAAATACAGTTCTTTAAGAAGATAAAAATCGTCGAGTAATCATTAAAATAAACATGAGTTGGCTGTTATCATTTGGAGAAGGCACTAATGCAAGTGATAATCATGCCCTGAGAGGGTGACTGTAACAGCACCGCCATATCTTATCGATTGTGGATCAAAGGAACGCTGTTCGTAGTTTGTTTACAGGGAGCCGTTTAAATAACCGTTTCTTAGCTTTTACATTAATAAGACTAATTTTTTTTCAATAAGATGAAAAATTTGTTATTTAAGTATTGGTTTATAGTTAAACTAGCAACTTACTTTCGCTTTGCAAGAGTTGCTTAGAGGCCTAACATTAGCCTATATCCTACTCCAGATCATAGCCTATCTGTTTAATAAAATTTCATCCAATTCCATCCAGCCGTTTCAGCGTGAAGGAGTAAATTATGACGAATGTAAAAATAGTTATCTTTACAATATCCATGTTTAGCTAAGTAACTCAGTGTTTCGCCTATATTAGTCTAATGTTGACGTTTTATATTATAGTGTATCTAGTATCTACGTAATATATAGATTTTGAAAGTAATTTATTTTGTCATAACTCATACGTAACAAATAACAATTGTAACATTCAGTTATTTTATATGCCAGTTCGTAGATTTTGAATATAGATTTTTGATATGTCAAGTGGACAGTCGGTGATTCGGATTATATGAGTTAGGAATATTAAAATATAAATGTAAAATGAGTATACAGAAAAAGCGAGAAATATAATTGTTAATTGCCAAATATTTGTCTTCCTGGAAAACCCTTCTGAGCTGTTTTACAATAATAACTGATTTTGATTGAAAACAAAAATTGGCACCATATGTACTTCTTTTGAAATTCGATGTGGTGTGTTAATGGAGAACTGCACGTGCATTGAATACTTGCCAACCTTAAGATTTTATAACATGAAAGGAATATTAAAACTTTATGACTTTAAAAAAAATAAAAAAAAATTTCAGAAGTGCATTATGGAAAGACTGAATTTCAGTTGAATCTTGTCACGTTATTTTTATGTTATGAAACTGTCATGTGACACATTAAATACATATTTGAAAATATATAGTATTCGATATAAGTGATTAGATTGGGATATTGAGTAAGATTTTCTTTATTTGAGATACAAATAAAGAAAATCTTAACTAACTTTAGAACTATAAGACAAAGCCAAATAAATATGCTTCTAAAACTATAGAGTAACATTAAACATATAAATTTAGCTCCATTATGAGTATTTTATGGCTTCAGTCGTAAACATCGTGTATACATATTTATAATGTCATGAT